TGCCCAGCTCTCCAGCCTGTCCAGGTCATGCTGGATGACAGCACAGCCCTCTGGAGTGTTGGCCAGTCCTCCCAGTTCGGTATCATCAGCGAAGCTGCGGAGGTTACACTCTGTCCCCTCAGAAAGGGTGGCTGTGACAACAGGGCAGAGGCTGCTTTCTTTCCCCCTTCCTCCATCCATGCCCGTCTGCTGGCCGGTCCCCAGCGGTGCCGTTGGCCGTGTCAGTGCTCGTGGTCCCTTGCTGGCACTCTGCAGGTGATGGCAGCCACACGCCTGTATTTGGCGGGGTGCGGGGTGGCACCAGCGCAGCCGCTGCGGATGCCGCGAGCCCGCGCGGCGGAGCGAGGAGAAGCCGTGCCATCTGCTGTTTCTTCAGCGCCAAAGTGTAAAGCAAACATAGCTGGGAGCTATGAAACACCAGGAGGGAAGGGGCCGTGCCTTGTTCCAAGGCCGGGCACGAGGATCCCGCAGGCAAAGCATGTGTTTGTCCCGGTGCCGTCAGCTGTGTGACCGCGCCGGCGACGTGAGCCCGGTGCCGGGGCCTTGCTGAAACCCTCACATCCAGCGTCTGTCCCTCTTGGCTTCGGTACCCCCGACGGCAGCGCTTCATCGGTGACTGTCACGAAAAGCTGTGAAGGGGAGAAGCCTCGCAAAGTCACTTGCAACCTTCTCGCGGCGTTTTTCCCTCGCGAGCTGTAAGTGAGCAGCGCGCAGGCAGGCGCCTGGGGGTGCTCCCCGCATGCGCTGGGACTCTCCCGTGTGCTGCAAGCAGAGCAACACGAGCTGGATCTCCGTGGGGGAACCAAACAAACTGCAGGCAGGGGCTGCCCGGGCAGCCTGGAGCTGGAAATGGGGGGTGCAGAGAACTAAATCGTGGTGGGTGCTCCCATGCTTGGAGAAGAAGTCTGATGAGGAGAGGCTGAGGGAGCTGGGGGGGTCCAGCCTGGAGAAAAGGAGGCTGAGGGGAGACCTTCTGGCTCTCTCCAACTCCCTGAAAGGAGGGTGTAGCCAGGGGGGGTCGGTCTCTGCTCCCAAGTCACAGGCCATGGGACAAGAGGAAACGGCCTCCAGTTGCACCAGGGGAGGGTCAGATTGGAGATTGGGAACAATTTTTCCACGAAAAAGGTTGTTAAGCCTTGGAATGGGCTGCCCAGGGCAGGGGTTGAGGCCCCATCCCTGGAGGGATTTCAAAGCCGGGTTGCCATAGTGCTTAGAGCCATGGGTTAGTGATGGGTTTTATCAGAGTTAGGTTGGTGGTTGGACTGGATGATCTGAAAGGTCCCTTCCACCCTAGACAATTTCTGTGATTCTGTGGTTCTATGATTCTATGCTTGGCCCCACTCTGACCAGTTTAACGTTGGAGGACAGGCAGCCTGGCCAAGAAGGAGCACAACACACCGAATGCATTGCTGGGCAGAGTGGTGAACTTCATCTGGGGGTTTCCAGAGGGCTTTTTAGGGGATTTCTTCTTCTAGGAGGCAAAGAGGAAAAGGGGATTTTGGGGCAATGCTGCATTTTTTTGAAAGGTCATTGCAATTCCTCGGAGTCCCCAGGCTCATGGCATCCCCAGAAGAGGATGGAGGGGGAGAGGCATTTGCATCTGAAGTGGTGCAAAGCAGGGGGTTGCTGCAGGTGTCAGTCCTTCCCCTTGGGAGGTGACCCCCATTCCTCTGGGGGGG